TCCTTGTCTACCTCCACCTCACATCCTCATTAACCCCCAATAAAATGATTAAAAAACCAAACAAACATGTAATACGATGGTCCCAGGTTATTGGTACCAATTTCCGCCCATTTTAAATGGGAAAACTGAGGCTTAGAAAGGCTCCGTCAGATGCTCCAAGTCTCAGAAGTCTAAGGTGTCCGAATTGGGGCTTTACCTCAATCCTGGATGCGGGGCTTTTACGGGTGGCTATGTTTTATCCTTTTTCACGCTCATTGATTAAGCTAACATTGGAGAGATCAACAAGGGCTCAAAGGTATCAGCTAACTGGCTGTAAATTAATGATTTCCTTTTGTAAACCTTGAAGATCCAGAGAGGCAGTTATCCTTTCTATTAACTCATTCACACAGTCATTGAATTCATTTTATGGGACACCAACTATGCCTTACATGCTGTCCTAGATGCTGGAGACACAAAGATAGGGTGTATTCCCAGGTTATCCAAAGAAATAAGACATTTGCATGAATCTTTTATATACTATTTTATTAGTTACTCATAGCTATGTAAAGAATACCACACATTTCACAGCTCACAACAATACACATGGTCAGTCTTTATGGGTTAGAAGTCTGAGCGTGACTTAGCTGTGTCTTCTGCTTACAGTCTTAGAAGACTGCAAACAAGGAGTTGGCTGGTCTAAGTTCTCATTTTGGGTCTGGGGGAGGGGGGCGGGGGGCCGGGGACAAAATGGTAGAGGCTGTTTGAGCTCCTAGAAGCTGACTGTAGGTCCTTGATACATAGCCAAATACTTCATCAAGCCTGCAGAGAGAGTAAGTAGGGCAGCAGAATGGACTGATTTAACATAGCACTCTCTTAGAGAGGATGTCACATGCCATAGAACATAGCATAGCCAGGGAAGTGACACTGTGTTGACTGCATTTTAATTGGGGTCCTTGAGTGGTACGATGGTTAAACTCTCGACTATAAGTTGAAATGTGGGCAGTTTAGACCCACCCACAGGTGCCTTCGAATATAGGCCTGCTGACCTGCTTCTGAAAAGATAAATCCTTGAAACTCAAAGGAGTGTAGTTCTACTCTGCACCAGTGAGGTCCCCATGAGTCCGAATGGACTCAATGACAGTCAACTGCAGGCAAGAGCGGTGAGGCTATGGGCCCCACCTGTGTGAGTAGAGAAATCAATGCAGTGACACTCATAGATGTTTACGAAAGAGCTTTATAACAAGTAATAATTACATATCGAGAAAACATCCCAGCCCAGTTCAACTCAAGTCCATAAGTTCCTCTTCAGACTCGTGCAGCCACATGCAATCATGCAGAATGTAGAAATATCATAGGCTGGTGGGTGCAAAGTCTTGTGGATCCAATGGCGGTGACTCTGGAAGCAATCAGGGTCAGCCAGCAGAAAGGTGAAGACAGAGAGAGATAGAAGGTTCCCAGGACCCTCCTTATGAGGAGGCCACCCCCACAAGTAGGCACCATCAGACTGTGACCTGATTGACAGGTTGAATACCACCCCTACACTACTACATATCTTCAAGTTGACACGAAATTATGTAACTACCACACCACCCTAGATTTTCTCAACAATAATGAATAAATGCCAGCTGAATCCTGAGGAACTCAGAAGAAATATTCGTTCCTACGTGGGCTGAGCTCCTGGAATCCAGGTACTGGGATCTTAATTTTAATATGAGGTCAGCATGAGGCTGGTTAAGGAAGGGGCTGGGGCTACCCTCCAAGTGTCAGAGGACCAAGCGTCATGGCTGTGGGGATATGGAAAGGGGTATATGTTCAGGAGATGACAAGTCTGAAGAAGCAACAGGTAGGCCTAAAGTGGGGCCGGGGAAGCCAATGGAAGGAGAGTAGGGGCGCTGAGATGGGTCTGAGATGACGTGGTCCTGGGACGAGCAGGTCAGAGTTGCTGAGGGCAGTGGAGGAGGTGATCCATTGGGCTTTTTCTCCAACTCCTGGTAAATAGCCTCTAATTTCTGTGGAGTACTACTAAAAACAAACAAACAAAGAAACCAAAAAATCCTTCAGTATATTCTATTGACTCCTCCCCTGCCCACAAAGTCCAACAAGCAGTGGTTTTCCTTGACCTTGATAATGTACATGCCTTTGGAAAGGTTTGCATGTAGGGGAAGAGAAGGGCTGTTCGTACCTGTCTAGTAAGTCACTGGCATCCTAAGAGGGAAAGAGAGAAAGTGAGCATCACAATCACCTCCAAATTCCCTCCCGAACCCAGTCTTGGGGGTTGGCTTGGGTATAACCCTGAGAACTGGATAGCATCCCTCCACTTAGCTGGAGGAACACTGTGTGGCCTGGGATACACCATTGAGAATACATACTTGGAGAGAAGTCTATCCCCTTGACACCTCCCAGAGGGGAGAAGCTCAGTTGTAGGGAGGTGCCTCAGGGCAAGCACCTTTAGCATGTTGGCCTCCAGTTGCTTGAACACCCTCTCCAGATCAGTGATCAGGCAGCTGAGCTGTGCTTCACAGGATTCATGAAAGAGTCTGGCTTTCTCTTGCATGTCCTCAAGTTGGTCCAGTTGCTGTTAGGAAGAACATTCAGCTGCTTCCTCCCTTGGTGCTGGCTCTCCAGCTCAGCCTCTAGCCTATGATTCCCATAGCCTACCCCAAACTACAGACCCGGAGAGTCCATGTCAGCTCTTCCCTGGCCCTCCCCAGTCTCTGAATATTCTGGAGGGGAATGCAGATGCCCCGGTCCTCTTCCTTTCATGGAATGGCCTCTGTGCATCACAGCTACTGCCAAGACAGGTGTCCTTGTCTACCTCCACCTCACATCCTCATTAACACAGACGCCATGTTCCACAACGAAAGGAGCACACACACCTGCGGCTGCTAACCCCCTTTGAGTCACAGGGTCTGGAGAGGGTCTAGACAATGAGCAATGAGGGGAAAGAGACGGGTTGTTAGAGATGAAAGCCCACAGTGTAGGAAGAATTGTAAGCTGAGGAGCTGCCTGTCTCCTGTGATGCTCACGGTGAGCCAGGTGAAGAAAGATTGGTTTTCATCTAACAGGTAAGTCACCTGAAGAGCAGAGGGCTTAGCTTGCCTAGGCCATTCAACTGGCAATCCCCAA